GGGGGGGGGGGGGGGAGGGAGCATATTTGACATTTGTCCTTGAGTAGTTAATGTCTACTTGTTACTATGACAAACAATTATCAATAAAACACAGAACTTCATACAAATTACCAAAAAGACTAGACTTGTTCACCTCAATTCGTCGTTTTTCCCATCTTCTACACGGACTGATTTCTATCACATCATCATAAGCATCACTAACATCACTCTCGTCTCCCGAGTCTGTTGAACTAGCCACTGGCTTTGTTGTTTCGTTGACAGGCTGCACAGAAGCCATTTCACCCAAAAACAGTCACAGAAACATCACACAAATATACAAATACAATCACAAAATTTCTCCATATTGGCCCGGCACGTTTGTTTACAAGAAAGACTAGGCTCTAATAAGCGATTTCCGGGGGGTGGGGAGACGAAATGTGTTCTTTTTTAGACACTTAACGGTCCTTGAATACTAAATAAAATAAATTTATATTTATAACTATATAAATACCGGTTCAAAATACTGCATTTACAAATTAATTTTTTAATATATAAGAACTGTCAAAAAAATACTTTTTGATAGAATTATGGGTAATTCATCTGAATAGCTCACCCCCCGGAAACCTGTTTTTTCAGACGTGACGTCACTTGCGCGTCTCGTAAATTTTGTTTCATTTTTCGAGCGGCCATTTTGCCACGTTCAACGCCCTGCGAGAATTTTCGCGAGTGCAAATTTCGCCGATTTACTGCAAATCCTAAGCTGTTAAACAACGCAGAAACGTTTAAAAGGTACGTAAGTTTAAATTAAAGACGTTTTGCGGGGACAAAAGAGCTTTTATTGTTAGTGTTTTTTTCTTCGTTCGCGAATCGTGTACGAGACAAGTTGGTGATGATCGCTCGTGTCGTGGGCTTTCACACTCCCGAATTTTCGGGACGTAAACAAACCAGAAATGTTCGAAATTGTACCAATGTAAATGCGAAGGGATTTATAATTTTTTATTTCCTTCTAGAGAGGTTTTTCTTGAGCTTTGAGCACAGCATTTCGATCAATATTTGTGTGTGTAGATTTGTTTTGCAAAACACTGCTAGTGGCGTGACCAAACACTTGAAACTGAAAAAATATTTAGGTTGTCGGGGTCGATTGCTTGAATGTGTTTTAATAAATACACTTTGATATGTGGGGATTGTATTCTTTATCTTGGGTGGAATTCGAATAAAAATAAGAAGAAAATCAAAAAATGTTTCTACCAGCCATCTTCATGAATATCATTACTTCTATTTTTCCCATTTAATGGGCCATAGCCCCCCCCCCCCCCATTGAGGGGTCCCTTCGTAATCCCCTTAGGATATAAAAAATTTGGAACCCCCTTGGATGCAATTTGTGAAGTCATCCCGGAGGATATCTTACTAAAACACCTAACTTTTGATAGGCATTTTTTAAAAATCTCTCAAGCAACCCTCTGGGAAAATTTAAGATGAAGACCCCC